CGCCCTGGCACTCTATACCCAATAATATTTAAATTATAAAGAAATGCAAAAATGCCACACTAAAATTGTTTATTGCTTTCAATTGACAATGGTCTGATAAGGCTATTTTTAACAATGGTAAAAATATGCAGCCCAATTCAAGGTCAAAAAACTTCTCCAAAACTGTGGAATGTTAGCGAAAATAATTTTATATTTACCGGCATTCAACCCAATGCTAAATAATAATTTAATAATAAATATTATCTAAACTTCAATAAATTTAATGAATTTCATATTAAAAAAATGTTAAAATGAATGTGTAATAATAAATAGGTACAAATAGGTACTCAAAAACTGTGGTACCAATGTAATTAATTAAAATTCATTTTTACGCAACTTGTATATGAAAAAAGGTAACCAATAATCCGGCTCGAAGGACCAAATGTACGAGCTAATCAGTGGACTGTATTTTTTTAAAGTTATCAAAAATCGATAAATGGCAAAACCAATAAAGGCCTTACCCCGAAACTGCGTGGGTTTTATGCACTAAAATAATTGGTTCTGGTTTGATTGCCGGCAAAAATCGTTCTCATCTTTCGGACAGCGACAGCACATATTTTTGGCTACTACATGTCTCTGTCCTTATTTAATCAAGAGCGCACTCTTGCTCTCTTTTACGGTACCGCGCGAAGAGTCCATGGAAATCCCATTCTCAGGCGCAATTAATAATTGAAATTTACACTTCAAATTTAAGACATATATACAAGTTGCGTTTAAATTACCCAAATTACAATACGATAAAACGTAAGTCCCAAACAATACTTTTCTGACGGGCTTCAGAGCAGTACATTTTGTGATCCTATACTTTTGTAAAACTACTTTTCCTGTCAAGACAGCTTGGGCGGTATACAGCCGTGCATGAAATGCAACAAAAACTGGAAAACTCTTTGCCGCAACACTTGAATTTTCCTGACAAGGTTAGACCTTATTAGGCAATGTGGACACACGGTGTGGTTTGTTTATCAGGTCAGCTGCTGCTGTGACCGGAATTTTATTATAAACAATGGATGTAGTATGAGATGTGGTACCTTGTTGGATGGTTGTTTCCAGGCTAGTTAACGTTTGCCCACTAACTGTGTGCGTTGAAAAATATTCACTTTCCCACATACACCAGTTTTTCACAAATTTCCATGGGCTTTTACCAATTTAAAAGCATCAAAACATACAAACAATACATATCAGACAAGGACGACACACATAATATACTTATTCTAACAAAAAAAAAATCGTGCAAAAGCTCTAGTACTCATTCTTTCTGCATCAAAAACTGTCTGGGTTAGGCTTCAATGCTTTATGAAGTGAATGACCCTTTATCTATAATTGGAAAGTACAGTAATACCTATTGTCACTTTTTGAATAGTCCTTTATTTTGCCAATAAGGGCACTTCTGATAGCAAAGATGTTATGTCTATCAACTTAGCGAGACAACTTCGAAAAATCGATTTTCCATTTTGCCAAGAATTTGCCGCTAATTAAATGTGGAATTAAAAAATTTGCCGCTCTTCTGATTTTTTCTTAATTACGTGTTTTGCTAACTTGACGTCAAGATAGCGAGACAACATCACTACTTAAATATGTCAGCAGCAAAAAAACGGCAAATTTTCACCGTTTTTTTGCCGCTAATTAGTCGTGAAAACCAAAAGTTTGCCGGTTCTTTTTTTTTTCATAAAAAATCAAGTTTGAAACAAAAAATCATTTGTATCGCTAACTTGACGTCAAGTTAGCGAGACATCACTAAAAAAATGTCGGTAGTGAAAAATTGAGTGAATGAAAATTTGCCGTTTTTTTGCCGCTAATTAGTTGTAAAAACCAAAAATTTGCCGCTTCTTTTTTTTACAAAAAATCAAGTTTGAAAAAAAAAATCATGTGTTTCGCTAACTTGACGTCAAGTTAGTGAGACAATATTACTAAAAATGTCAGTAGTGATAAGTTGAGTGAGTGGAAATTTGCCGTTTTTTTGCCGCTAATTAGATGTGAAAACTAAAAATTTGCCGCTACCTTTCTTTTCATAAGAAAATCGTGTTTGAAAATAAAATAATGTTTTGCTAATTTAACATAAAGTGGCGAATTCCGTATTCAAGAACTCGCCAAGTTTTTAAGAAATCGGTCGTTGTTCAGGTGGATGTAAGCCAAGGATTGAAAGCCTACCGACCATAACAATCGTTGACAAGGAAATGGGAAAAACTCTTGGAGAAGTGATAAAAGAACACGTTGTTCTTCCTGATGTTCAATGCCATCAAATTGCAAAGGAATGGAAGAAAATGAATTTCATCTGATAGGTAAGTAATACTTTTTATGCAAAATTTTATACTTTCGCCGCTAATCAAGAAATGACAATAAGTTTCCTCCGATTTCCTCTTCTTTCTGGGTGAAAACAAAATACTGTTCCCCATAAATTTAACAAGATATATAGGGTGGGTAAATTTCGTGTTTAAATGGGGTATGTATATCGGAAACTAGCAGAGTTATCAAAAATCTGGGAGCACGTTCTCAAGCTCTTTTTTCAAGAAAATAACAACGACGCGACGTGAACAAGTCAAGGCTATCTTGATGCTTGATGCATTTAGGAAATACAAGGCGATTCTCAATTTTCCCCAATTATAAAAGACCCTGTTATTTCTTTATAATTCAAGAAAACGAAAAACAATAAAATTTCGAAAAACAGCTTTTCAGAATTCGGCTACATGACCAGATTTTTTTCAAATATCGTAGTAGTAAATATGCTTTATTGTCGTTTATTTCCTAAACGCATCAAGATAACTGTGATTTGTTACCGCCGTTGCTATTTTCTCGGAAATGTTCTCCAAGATTTTTGATAACTTGGCTAGTTTTCTATAAACCCAATTAAATCACCGAAATTTGCCCACCCTACATGTCCGTCATTTTTCTTCAGGAGATCTCGTCATCATAGGAGTTGACACAGAACGGAGGGTCGACATCGAATTCATTCCACGACTGTTCAAATGTCCAAAAACAGGGGATGATTATCAGATTCTGTTGTTGATGATAAGGGACTTACTACAATGACTAGGCGATCAACTTCAATTGGTCATTATACTGCAATAGTCAGCAGAAACGCAAACTGGATTGTTTACGATGATCAAAGACCTAAGGCGATAATGATGAGAAAAGGTGGAACCTTGCTTCCGGAATTATTGGTTTACATCGAGGTTTACACAAAGAAAAGATAAAACAACTTTTAATTTATTCCTATTTCTTATATTATATTTTTTTGTATAAACAACACCATAGACATTTTTAATTTAATTTAATTTCTAATTTTATTTTATTTTCTGTATAAATGAGCACACGATATTTCACTTTTTGATTTTTGAAACCTATAAGGCCTCCAATAGAGTTCTCCTAAGCTGAAGAAAAAAAAAGGTGAAAAACTATTCTCAAAAAATTTACAAATAAATAATTGTTCCAACAAATGTTGAGTTTCACTAATTAAAATATACAAGGTGCATAAAAATTAAGGGTGGGAGATCATTCATAACGGAACACCCTTTTACTCACCTAATTTTATACTGCCCTTTGTTTTTTGTGATAATGTCGGTCTAACTTATCGGCAACCTTGCTAAACACATAGTTTTTTTCAAACACGATTTTTTCATGGAGAAAAAGAGCGGCAAATTTTTGGGTTTTCACATTTAATTAGCGGCAAAAAGCGGAAAATTTCCACAGTTTTTCTCTACCAATCAATTTTTCTCTACCGACATTTTTAATGATACTGTTTTGCTCACTTGATGTCAAGTTAGCGAAACACATGATATTTTTTTCAAACGCGATATTTTCTTGCAGAAAAAGGGCTAATTAGCGACAAATTTCCACTCACTCAATTTATCACTAACAACATTTTTAGTGATCTCGCTAACTTTACGTTAAATTAGCAAAACATTATTTTATTTTCGAACACGATTTTTTTATGAAAAGAAAGGTAGCGGCAAATTTTTAGTTTTCACATCTAATTAGAGGCAAAAAAACGGCAAATTTCCACTCACTCAACTTATCACTACTGACATTTTTAGTAATATTGTCTTGCTAACTTGACGTCAAGCAAAACACGTGATTTTTTTTTGAAACTTTATTTTTTGTAAAAAAAAGCCGCAAATTTTTGGTGTTCACAACTAATTTACTAATTAGCGGCAAAAAACCGACAAATTTTCATACAATCAATTTTCCACTACCGACATTTTTAGTGATGTCTCTTTTTTTTTCAAACTTCATTTTTTATGAAAAAAAAAAGAACCGGCAAATTTTTGGTTTTCACAACTTATTAGCGGCAAAAAAACGGCAAATTTTCACCTACCTTATTTTTTAATGTTGTCATATTTAGTGATGTTGTCTTGCTATCTTGACGTCAAGTTAGCAAAACACGTAAATTAAGAAAAAACCAAAATAGCGGCAAATTTTTCAATTCTACATTTAATTAGCGGCAAAAAAGCGGCAAATTCTTGGCATAATGGAAAAGAGATTTTCCGAAGTTGTCTGGCTTAGTTGATAGACATAAAGATGTTATTATCATAAGTGAATCAAGTTTAACAAAATTGAAATGTTGGTCATAAAAATCTGGACCATTGTGAATGAAGTTGCCATACTTACCTCAGAGATAATCCCCTAAAATGTAATCTAATTGTGGATTTCTTCATTGAATAGTGTAAACAGTCCCTCATAAAAGGCAACGCTTACAGGGATTTATATCATAATAGGAAGCAATTGAATAATCTTTTATCTTATCAACACATTAATCTGTGCTTGTTAAATGTTGCTCTGGCTTCTGTATTTTTTAATTAATTGAATAAATAATAATTATAAAATGCTGAATTCCTTTGAAATTAACCAATCTCTTAGCATTTCCAATCATGAACATTTGCACCGACTTGAAAGAACAAATAAGAAAAAGACACAAGGATAATAAAACAAAGAAACATTTTCAAACTGAAGCTCTAAATACAAACCTAAAACTATTCGTTTCCAATTCGAAGGTTGAATATCCAATTCGGCATAAGTTAAAAGTCTTTCTAGATACACTAAAGTGATAATGGCACATTCAGCAGTCAATTGAGCGGCATTGAACAAAGTCCTAACAAACTTATAAATCTGTCTATGTTCGGGATTGTGCCGGTCGTAATCCTCGCCCACGCCGTCCCTAGTAAGCGGATGCAGTTTCTCATCGAATATGTCAATTTCTCTGTGATGAGTACGATTTTTGATATGATAATAAATGGCTAAAGCAACACATTTGACTGTGTTTTTTAAATTAGGCTGAGACACTGTGCTATCGTCTAAGTAAATTGTGGAACATGAACTGCTTTTTTTGAGCGGTCTGAGGTCTGCTATTTGATGTTGGCTCCTCCGTCTTATCATGCCATTTTCAATAGCCGTTTTCGATCTTTCTATAAATATAGTCTTTGCCATAGGGTCTTGAGAAGGATCGGCTTCACCATCATCTCCTTCTCTTTCACTTATGTGCTGTAAATTTGTAACACTAATCTCACCTTCGTGTAAAGTTTCTTCAATGGGTATTATGACCCTGTGCGACGTTTGCGGGCTGGAATAAGAGCAACAGCTCGCTTTATTACCCATGTTTTTCTATTGTAGGTTGTAACCGATTCTAACAGGTTTTGTTGATTTTTTATACATCTTTGTTGTGTTACACAATTAATTCAATATTAGCCTCATTAAGGATTATTTGCTTCGGTATCTTTATCTTGTGTATAATCAGCAATAAAACTGATATTGAAGATTAAATTAGGAAAACACTGCACACCCACTTCCACTTTGAATCCACTTCTTTACACATTCAATCAGTACAGTTTCCATTTTTTTTAGACATTTTTGTTGCTGGATTGTCCAAAATTTGGACCGGTTTACTATTACATGAATGGATTAGTTGTTTTAGTGAAAAAATTAATTACTATTTATTAGTGATTGGGGCAAGTTTTATTTGCATTTTTTATGAATTGTCCAACAACCTCAAACATCTGTCTCTGTCAAAGCCAAACACTGTCAAATGCCAAAGAAGTTTTCATCGGTACCGGTGGGGGATTCTCATCCTCTAGTCGCAACCTATCGGCCCGATTATCCCATTGCTTTTCTACGGGTGAGTCGGGACGATAGGTTGCGACCAGAGGATGAGAATCCGCCCCCTGCTCCATAATTTTTGAAACAGAGGAGAGAGGAGTGAATAGTTGTAATCCTTTCACACCTAGGAGCTCCGGGGCTTCACGCGCTTATTCCTTTCCAAAAGGGTTGGTTGCACCACGCATCTGTTCCCTGCAAATCGGGGGCTACTAAACACCGGAGCGAGTAGCTCGAGTGTTTCAAACCCCCCTTGAAAGGAATACAACTATTATGCTTCAAGAATAGAAGTTGAACTGCTTGCTTGGAGCACCCTTTACAAATAAAATGACATCCAAAAAGCCGCAGTTGGGGTGTTCATCGTTTTGAACCGTACGACGAACGATACGACTCTAACCCGGAGTAATCGGGAACCGATTCAGTGTTACACAGAGTGAACAGAGCAGTTCGAAATATACAGTGTCCTTGTTTGGCTTTCAGGCCTTAAGTAGGCCTGTTTATCAATAAAGGACAATGAGAAGAAACAGCGAGATAAGGTAATATTTATGACGTCACGGTCTAATAAAATTCATTCCACGAAACGAGATAGTGAAAGTAAAGAAAGTTTGCCAGTCAAATCGGTCAAATCGAATTTTATTGGCGAGAAAAGGATTATATTTCGCCCTAGGCAGGACAGACTCAGGTTGTTTTGTATTTCTATTCCCAATGATTGATCAAGAGCATGTTCCGAGCTTGTTCGCTGTCAATAAATTCCTTACTCTGAACAGGTTTACAATCAAGCAATGCAAAAATAGTGTTCCAGATCACATTGAATTTGTTTAGATTTCATTTAGAACCAGTTCCAAATAGTTTCTGAACTAGTTTTTGGAGTTCCGCCGTTCAATTAGAACCAGCTCTGGATTGATTATTACACAATTAGTGTCCCAAAACATATTAAACTTGTTTTTTGTTTGTAGTTTAACAATCTGACAACACTCGTAGCGTCTGTTGTAATTCATATTTTCGCAGTTCTCTGAATATTTGAAAAAATTGCTCATCGGCCTCGGCATATCACCATTGGTGACGTCAACAATAAAGTAGTCAACTATTTGCGCCAGCGGTCGTAGTTTATAATTTAAATTTATGATGAAAAATATTATTTAATTTTGATTAACATAATAGACAGAGAGGAAGATGTAAACGAGATCTGGAAAAAAGTTGTTTTAGAATGTTAATAAATTGTAGTAAAACCAAGTATGAATAAAGCAAAAGCCGCGAAATTATACCCTGTGGTGCAAGCACCCTACGTAAAGGCAGGAAACAACCAATGGCATTGGAAACAACACGCTGCTTACGTCATCACTGGTGCTTTAGCATAGTGGGGGGCTTCAGATTTGAATTACACAGGCCTTATGAGTATGAGCTATCCTGTAGTAGTATTCTTGGTTACACCTTACGTTTCAATATCCAATCCGGAAGTAGATTGGAGCGACAGGAATAATGGAACGGTAAGTGAAATTGCTTTCAATCCTGTCATCTGGCATATTAATAAACAATACAAAAAAGTTCAACCAGACTCGTTGTTGCGTTGAGAGAGGTAGGTTGCCTGATAACTTTTATGACGTCATATGAGGTGCTTCAACATAATGCACCATGAGGCATCCCAGAAGTTATTTCTTACCACCGGTTTCTCAATAGCAAGACGTTAAGCATTACTTCAGAGTAAACATTGCTGGAAACGTTTATCCTGGAATTAAAACCAACCTGGAAAAAAATTGCTATTTAGAAATCGACCAAAGCGTATCGGTGTTAATGGTAACATAATTCACAAAAACTATGAATTTGACAAGTTACTTTGACTTTTACCTGAGAAAATTGTTTTTTAAATCCAGAGCAGAAAGATTTGCTCCGGATGCTCCGAAATATAATAGAAAGTTCTCGTGCATCAGACGCTACGCTAATCCGGTACCGCAAACAATACGGTATTTCACATGGTATTTTATAGTTCTCGGGCACGAAGACACATAAATCCTCTAATCCCTTAATCTGTTTACATTTTGACAGCTGAGTTGAGTAATCTAACCCCACTTTTTGCTTGTTTTCTGACTTTTATTTATTCTCCTGACCTTGATCAATTTTCCCTTGGTGTTTTTTATGGAGGAATTATTAGAAGTTGCTGTTTTTGCAGACATAAATGTAGCGTAAACTAGTTTTGACATAGGATAGCGTTACGGTAAGATATCCGGTAAGTTCCGTTAGATAGCGGGCACCGCTAACGCTAATACCGTAAGAACTGTCATACTTGTCAGATAGCGTTACGGTATTTGAAATTTGGGCGGCACGAGAACTCTCTAATATGGGAACGGTCGTCCGATAAACTCGTTCTGCTCCGAAGTGAACAAGGGACGGTTCGGATCAACAGCAAAAAAATTGGATAAAGGAACGTAACCACGGGGAGTGCTGTGTCAACCCAAACTCGTGTAAAAGTACGGACGGTAGACTATCGAATCGTAGGTTCGGAATCCGGGGCAGCAGATGGCTCGATTATTGTTGGGTGCACTATTTATGTTGAAAGTCCAAATGATAGCAGGGTTGGGCTCGCTTACTCGGTGCATTCTAAGTACTCCGTAGTGACTCTCGTTCATGACATCCTAGAGTAAATAGGGTAACTACACTTTCATGGAGTTGAGTAAATGAAACCCAAGGATAATACACACTACTACTACAGAATAGCCTATCCTCATAAGGCCTGTCAAGTTCAAATCTCAAGCCCCACACCATGCAAAAGCACCCGTGATGACGTAGCCAGCGTGTCGTTTCTGGCCTTGACGTAGAGTGCTTGCACCACAGGTTATGATGCCGCGGGCTTTTGCTTTATGCATACCTAATTGGTTTTACTACATTAATTCACATTCTAAAACAACTCTTTTGTAGATCTCGTTTGCATCTTCCTCTATGCCTATTAGGTTAATCAAAAGTAAATATTTTTCATCACAAATTTAAATTCTAAACTACGACCGCTGACCATACTCCCCTAATTCTCTCACCATCAAATTCTGAGATACTCGAGGATCAAGAACACTCAATTCCTTCTATGAGAACAGACCAAAAATCACCTTTATCTATATTTAAAATCAACGAGAAAATTAACTCACTAGCACAGCCTGAATCGCAAGCATTCCATCAAGGTCTGCGGGTGACGTCACCACTATAAGCTGCTGAAAGTGAGGGAGTTAGAGGAGTATGACATCACATAAGCCAGCATAATCAGATTATGCTTGATTATCCACGCGAATTGCCTTACTTTTGTGCTATCGCTCACCAAATGCAGTTTTTAACATTTTTCACGACAAAATGGATGCTTTATTAGAAGACCTTCATAAACCAACTCAGGTCTTTAATTTTTAAAATAAGATTTTAACTAGTAAAAGTACCTTGGAATTAATTTACACAAACCTTTCACAATGGTCTGAAGCTGTAGCGGAAAACCATCCATTTTCTGATCGTGAAAAAGTTTTGTAATACAGGAGTTTTGGGTAATAAACCGAAACCAAAGATTTTTTCAGTAGGTCCTAACTCCTTTGTTTCTGAACTTATTAGTCAGGATTGTTTCGAAATTTATAAAATAACAAATAGTGATGAAAAGTTTGTTTATTTCAACAATACCACACTAAATATTTTTATAGTCTTTCCCTTGAAAATGTCATCAAAGAGAGCAAAATGAATAAAATTATGCTTGGATTACCCACGGCCACGAGGTTTGAGGATCCAGCAGGGTATTACATATACACATCAGAACGTTTCCAGGACTGGGTTTTGATATAAGAATGAAAAATTGAAGTCAGTGGTTTCTGAAATTTCTAAAGGGTCAACATGCTGATAAAAATTATCAAACCTCAAAAAATTGAAAAACACAGTAAGGATAGGTAGTCTCTAATTTTTAATAGGAGGCGATTCCCAATGACCTGCGATTCCTTTTGATCCTTCTCGAGATGCCACAGCACATTGTATTTCCAGTAAGGATATAAGATTTGATGCGGTTCATGTATTTCCGGTTTCCATCTTATTTTAATGAATCTTTTTGGTTGCGTATCCATCCAATTTTAGACAGGGTTATTTCTTGAACGGAAAATTTTATTTGAATTTATTTGTATCCTAGGTAGTTTGTTAATTACTTACTATTCAGTATTGCGACTGACTCACTACTGCAACTGCACAAAAAAGAAAATTTTCAACAACAAACGTGGATTAGAAAAAAATAAATAAGAATCGCTAGTACCTGATAAGTGACTGCCCGAAAGCAGCTGTGTCCGACTTGAGCAATAGAACGTTCTGAAATCTCGCACCCCTCGTTTGGCTCGGAGCAGCCACGCCCAATAATTGTATTACTTTCACACCTAGGAGCTCCGGGGCGTTACGCGCTTATTCCTTTCGAAAAGTGTTTGTTGCTCCCAAGCTGGTCCTGAGTGCTCAAGCCCAAATCATACCATTTAAATGCACGAAAGCAGCCAGCGCATCTGTTCCTTACAAATCGGGGTCGACAAACACCGGAGCAAGTAGCTCTAGGGTTCTAAACTCTTGAAAGGAATACAACTATTGAGATTCACACAGAGATTTGTGACACGAGACGTTACTGCCCAGGCGGGACGAGAAGCGCTTTAGGACCAGTAAAGCCGAAAATATTCAGAGCAGCCTGAAACAAAAAAAGAAAAGCTCGGAACTGAACTCTCTAGCCTAGTTCTCATAAATACAAATTAGGTTTTCATTTTGAAATTTTTAAGGTTTATGCGAAATTCGCAGGTTTTTATTTCCTTCTTTGTTGCAGAGGTGATAACTTTCAAGATAAAACGCAATGTATCGAGAATAATGCGAATGCGGATCCTTTTGTTCCAAAAGTTCCGTTTCGTTCGGGTATAATCGGTATATTTTACCACTCTCTTTACTCTAGAGCACGTGACAATTAACTGCTCTTACTCCATTTCAACTCCGTACTTTTACTACAAGGATATTAAACACTGGGCCATAGACTTTTTATAAAACACGAGCATATGCTTTTGCTCAAGTTTTTTGATATAAAAACTGCAGCAAAAAGAGACGCAGATAGAGTAAAAGCATTTGCTATACTTTATTCATACAACTGACTATTACTACTACAGGATTGCTCATCAGCCTCGACTTTCGCCATTTTTGAAATCATGGTCATAAGTTGTTGCACCATTGGCAACGTCATCAACGGTGTCGTTACTCGTTAGCTGTTTGCGCTAGCGGTCGTAGATTAGAATATAAATTTATGATGACAAAAATTATTCAATTTTGATTAACATAATAGGCAAAGAGAAAGATTTTTTTTTTTTTTTACGGATATGCGCACTCGCAAGGAAATGTCCTATCACGCTCGAGAAGCGGCAAGTGCGCGGAAATGTCGGTGTATGTTGGTCTTGAAACGGTTCAGGTTGTAACCTGCAGGGAAAACCGTCGCAGGGAGTTTATTCCACAGCGATGCTGTTCTCCAGAGATATGAATTCTGATATAATGAGGTTCTTGGTGCCTCTAGTTTGACAGTAAATTCATGGTTACCGTCTGTTTGACGGGTTCGCCTGGTATGCAAGATGCAAACGAGAACAAAAAAGAGTTGTTTTAGAATCGATTTCTCAATAGTTGAGAGTTTGGAACAGATGCGTAGTGCAACAAACACTTTTTTGGAAGGAATATGCGCGTAACGCCCCGAAGCTATTCCGGAGCTCCTCTTAGCTGTGAAAGAGATAGAACTTATTATAGCAAGTCACGAAGTCACCCCCGGTTTAAGCAACTCCAGATAAACATTGCAACTGGACACGTTTATCCTGGAGTTAAAATCAACCCGGAGTTGACTCGCTATCGAGAAACCGACCCTTAGAGCGGGTATTATAAAACTACATTGGCAGTTAACTAAAAGTTAACTTCTGGAATTACATGAGAAGTAATGTCATTCCAGAAGTTCACTTTTTGTTATTCTGTCAAATTTATTCCACACAGGCCTCATAAAGATAGGCTATTCTGTAGTAGTAGTGTGTATCATCCTTGCAAATACCTTCAAGTCAAGTCGAGAAACGCCACGCTGCCTACGTCACCACTGGTGCTTTCTAGAGGTGGGGGTTTGAGACTTGAACTTGAAACACAGGTCTTATGAGGATATAGGATTTTTACGCTATACAGGGTATATATTTTTTTAAGTGATACCACTATTGCTATATCAGAAACGGTAAAAGCTACAAGGTCGGTTAAATTAGAAAAAAGTTGCCTTTTTTGATGCCCATTTAAGACTCGTTTAGAGTGTTGCCAAATTCCTTTCAGTTTATGAAATACAGGGTAATTTCTAAGAAATCCCCAAAAATATTTCATCAATTATTTTGAAAACTATTGATCTTCGAGACACCATTTGAATTTGAAAGTTTTATAATTTTTTTTGCTCTACAAGATGGCCCCTTCAAATTTTAAATCCGACGTTTCGTGATCGAGCTAACATCATCAACTTCATTTTTTCAAATAGGGATCAGGATTTTTTATGTCATTTTTGGAAAGGAAATAAAGCGCTTTCTAGAAATTGCATAAAAAATCCAGGTCCGTATTTGAAAAAAATGAAGCTGATGATGGTAGCTCGATCACGAAACGTCGGGTCTAAAATTTGAAGATGCCATGTTGTAGAGCGAAAAAAAAACATAAAACTTTCAAATTTAAATTTTATCTGGAATATCAATACTTTTGAAAATAATTAATGATATATTTTTAGACGTTTCTTAGAAATCACCGTGTATTTCATTAACTAAAAGGAATTTGGCAACAATGTAAACGAGTCTTGAATGGGCATCAAAAAAGGAAACTTTTTCCTAATTTAACCGACCTTGTAGATCTTACCGTTTGGGATATAGCAATAGTGGCATCACTTAAAATATACACCCTGTATATAGGATGACGTCACATTTAGTAAATTTCTGCTGCCAACCTAACAAACAAAACTGAAAGTACTTTTCAACGCATTTAATGTAGGGGAATTTCAGATGTTTTTGGTTTGCAACGGCGGTCTACATTTTATTATGACATAATAAGAAAATGGCATTGACATCATTGTCTGTCCTTGTTTTTTAACTTCATCCTAAATATAACGTGAAAAACCTGTAATAGGCTATACTGTAGAGGTAGTAGTAGTGTGTATTATAATATTTTTAATACCTATTCGGAATAACCACATTCTTGTTTATCAATCATGCATCAGATGAAACAAAAAATTACCAACAAATCACTAAACCCACTGGTAGGGGTAAGTACTTCCAAATATGTATTAAAAATACTATATCCTTGAGGGACTTGAGATTTGAACTTTACTTTGACTCTGGCCTATGAATATGAGGATAGGCTATCCTGTGTAGTAAGTAATATCCTTGCTTTAACGTGAGCTTTTTTCGCAAATCTTATTTCAAACCCAGTTTGGAACTAATATAGGAATACGTTAAACTGACTTCTTAACAAGAAACAGTTATCCCTAACAAGTGCGCAAAGTAGTACTTTCGGACACACCAAAACAGTCACATAGAATAGGAGAGCTTTTCTGCGGGAAAGAGCCTTTGCGCACGTGGCTTCTAGTGCGGATGAAAATCTTATCCTGCGGAAAAGTGTTACTTTGCGCACGCTCGTAGAAAAAGTGTTATCTTCATGCGACATGCAGAGAAGAACTTTATTGGCGTCAACACTTAAGTATATAACACAGGAGTGATCTATTATCCTGCTACACTTCGGCTTCAAACTTTGAATTCTGCACAAAAAAATCTATTTCTAGGCTAATGACATAAATAACTATTATTTATCCCAAGCAGAAAAATTGGAAATCAGCTTTTTGACCTTTTTGTTCCAAAAGTTCCAGGTTGTTCGTTTATAGGCACTTCAACGTTCTCTTTACTCAAAGAACAAGTGGCAAAAATGAAAAAACTGCTCTAACTCCACTCCAACCCCGCCCGGGTCAAATAGCCTTAACCCAGAAATAATGGGCTTATTAATTTGTTGAAATAAAATAGAGAAATTCAATAGTTTTATTTATCTAAAGCGTAAAAATTGATAATCAGCTTTTTGGCATTTCAGTGTTTCAAGAGTTCCGGGTCCATGGTTTATTCTTCAACGTTCTCTTTACTCTAGAAAAAGTGACAAAAACTGCTATGGCTATACTCCAACTCTGGGGCGAGTAGCCTTAACCCTTAATGGGTGATGTCACAGATTTACCCTGGACTGGAGTGCATTTTCTGAGCTAATTTGATTGCCTCACAAGAGCGGAAAGTGGCACTTACCCGCGCGCTTCGGCAGCTAAATTCACTTTCTCCAACTAAGGATTTTGAATAAAAATGTTCTACAAAATCGATCATGTTTGAACTGTTAGGCTTCTTCACCGCAAATAAACTATTTCTAAATTTTAATCTTAGATTTAATTACAGGTAACAGGAGACTGGCTTACAACTAACAAGAATTACCTGAAAAATATATATTTCAACAGAAGACGAGACATATTGAATAAGCAGTACTTACAAAATACAAAAAAAAATTACGCAAAAATACATATTAATGTTTCATTACATTAATATCTTAATCCAAAAACAAATCAAATGAAAAACATAAACTAGAACAAACTTACGGCTGAGATCATTTTATATAAAAAACTTTTTAATCCCAGGTTCACGTTTTATACGTTTTCTGGAATCAACAGTTTTGGTAGCATTGGACCCCCTTGGATAATCTTCGTCAGAATCGTTGTTGAAATTATCGCGTACTAGATCATGCGATATGTCGCCAGCAACACACTTTAATAATTCATTTCTGCTGATAATTCTGGTTTGAGGGTGGAGAATTTTTACCTAAAAAGTCAGAGTAACAAAATTGTATCGTATAAAGTGAACTAAATTTTGCTTACTTACCTTTTTAAACTTTTTAAAGTTTTTCCTCCCATCACCACATTCAACCACACTAGGTTGAGGCTTCACATATTCTTTCATTGGTTTGACTTGAACGCAATCTTTAAACGCCTCTATTACAATGGCCAATTCAGGATCTTCTTCGATTTTGCACGATTCTAGTTTTATAGTACTTTTGGACATCCAAGTGAGATTTAAAATGCTTTGTTTGCCAGGCGAAATGGCTGAAATGTTGCTTTGCATTGGTATAAGTTTAATTTCCCTCTTGCTGGGCTGGATTTTTTCAGTTTTTATCTGCTGAGTTTTGGTTCTGAGTATTCCAAACGGATTATCTTTAGCTGTGTCTGTTGTTTTTGAAAGTTTCTTTGCTATTTGGAATGGGTTTTCGTTTTCTTCTGTGGACGTTTTGTTTTTTTTCTTTAGAGCAAGTGAGAATGGATTTTCTAGTGGAGTTGCTTTGCGTTTTTGAGAATGAGACGATTTTCTCTAAAACAATCAAGGTATTTTAGTTAAAAGCAATTTAAGCTCGCTTCATTTTTACCTCTGGTGTAGAATCATCTATAACGATGATTTCGGGTTTTTGTTTTCCAATAAAATCATTGGATGCAACTCTAAAAGAAAATATATATTATACATATATATTTTTTTGATTTATGGTTTTTCAAAGGTTCTATGAAAAAGTTTCACTGAATTTCATACACATTTTCAAGACATTTTGTCAGATTGCGTCAAATGAAGATCAGAAAGTGAGAGTTTTACCTGACTAAAACTGAGTGTTTTCTATGAAAAAAGACCTGAAAGTTACTCCAGTCTCAGGAGAGATCCAGGCAAAGATGGTCTTGAAGATTTTATTGAATCATGAATATAATTATGTGATTGTTATCAAAGGAGTTCTCTTCAATTAAAAACCTTTAGAAATACTAACTTTTTTGGTTCAATCACCCCTCCTCCTTCCAGTTTCAACTTCTTAGCTCCACTCTCAACAGTATCTTTAGAAGGCCTTTTTACACCACTAGGCCCTGCAAGTTGTTGATCATCATTTTTTTTCTGACCACTGCCAGAAGGGGTGGTCATCCATTCGTCTTCTACAGTAGCAGGAATAATTTTTTCTGTTTTAATGGAAACATCTTTTTGCGATTGAGTTTCCGTAACAAGGACAGCTTTGGATGCAGGTTTTGGCGTCGAGACATCAAAAACTTCAGCTAGCTTTGATGGAAAAAATAATTTTTAAAGGCAATTTAAGCAGGTATTGAAAAGCATTATTTGGAAGGAATATGTTCAATGGTTCACATGTTAAAAAAGCATTCAAGCAAGCGAAAGGTTTCGTAAAGTAACTTGCAAAGTAGCTAGAAGTACCTTGTTGAAGTTTGCATTACAACTGACATCGCAAGAACAATAAACGATGGCTAAAGCTATTTCGTTCCTGGCAATGTGTCTTTTATTGTCTCTTCGTAATAGCCTTATCATTGCGTCATAAGATGCATTATCTTCGTCTCCTTCTGACTTTACCAGTAAATAGTCCAGGGGGCTTTCACTTATTTCTTCATAGGTTTTGGGGGTTTCTTCCCACGATATGCAGTTTCCACCTAGACAAGAGATTTTCGTTAATTTGGAAGTAAACATTGAGTAAAACCGTCTCAATTTTTATCTATTCCAGGCTCTTCTTAAAATCAAATTTTCCATAAATCACATAGAGGGATGTTTTAATTTTTCTTTGAGGAAAATGTTGTAGTGGTTTTATTAAAATTTTGCAAAGAATTTTCTTCTTCTGACTCACCTTGATAAAAATCAAAGTTAAAAGACTTTAAAGCTGTGCAGATGCAAAACTTCTGAAGCTGCATTGAAATTATTCACTACAGACTTCTAGAGAATTTAATTGGTTTCAATTTGAGACTACTGACACTAAGAGCGGATCGAAATTAACAAAAAATTAGACGAAATAAATGGGAAACAGAGAATTCATTGAAATGGGAAAACATAAGAAAAAAGAGAAGAAAATAAATAATAAAAACAAAAAGAAGTAAAATTTTTAGTAATTTCAATTCTCACCACATTTTTCAATAACCTCTTCCATCTGTTTCTTGCAATTCGCCGTTTGAAAAACAAACATTTTGTCCTTAAACAAACTCCTCCTTTGCGAATTAAATCTGTATTGAAAATCCGACTTCAACAATTGTTCTGCAACTGGAGGTTTGTTATACTCCTCAATGTTAGGCATGGGTAATTTTTGTGCTAGACTTTCTTCACAGGCTGCCCAATAATCCAGAGTAACGATTGGTTTTTCGTCGATGAGCGCTTGCAGGACTTTTATGGTCAACGTAAGCTTTTCTACTGTTAAATGAGTGCAACTATCATCCCATTTTTCCATATATGTTGCTTTTAAGCTTTCCAAGTTTCTTCTCAGGGTTATTCTCTTTTGGGAGTTTAAACCGCTGGCTGCTACTTTGAATATTAAGTCCGAAGACTGAAAACTAAATTATTTTTTTAATAATAACTGTTATTAATCGAACAAAAATTAGCTTGTTACCAGTATATGTTTATATATATATATTAATCCTTTATTTAGCACCTGGCTAATTACAAAAATAAATGAACATACAAGTCAAATTAATTATTACATACTACATTATACGCCTACTAAAATAAAATAAAAAATAAAATATCATGCAAGTAAATACAAATTACAATAATGCAAAACACAGTATAAAATATAAAATAAAAATATATAGCAACAATTTAAAAAAACTACAATAGAATATAAAATATAATATGTCACTTGCGTCATTATCCTACATGTTCATTACATATTACATAATAAAAAACAAAAAAAAATAGAAATCCTAAGTTTAAAATGTGTATAGTAAACAACAAATATAATGATTTACAAACAACATGCAAGTCTTGAAATACACAGAAATCAAAGATATACAAAATTCAACAAAAACAACAAAGATGAAACAAGTATTACTGTATTATTCTCCCATAAGATGAATCTTTAACTTTCTTTTAAATAAATTAATATTTGGGGCGTCCTTTATTTGTTGAGGCAAAGCATTAAAATAAATTAAACCCTTATGGTATAAACCATTTTCAGTTCCTTTTTTATTTTTTGTTGTAACATAAAAATTGTTACGATTCCTAGTAGGGTACGAATGTACAGAAGAATGACTTCTTAATTTTTTAGTCAAATATGAAGGTGTTAGCTCATTTTTCATTTTATAAATTAACAACATATTTTGGTAAATAAGAAATTTTTCAACAGAAAGCCAATTTAGTTTTCCTAACATATTCTTTATAGGCGTTTCACGCCTTTCACGTAAAATAAATCTCATTGCCCTATTTTGCAATTTTTGCAATCTGTTCTGATCATTTTTGTTACACAGGTACAGGATCGAGGAACTAAAGATATAATGTGGTAAGATCAAAGTATTATAGATAGTAAGCTTGGTCCATTGTGACAAAAAAGATGTGAATCTAGACAGAAAATTTACACCTTTGGTAATTCTTTCGATTGTATACAAAATGTGATCCCTAAATGTAAGTGAGGAGTCAACAACAAATCCAAGATATTTATGTGTCTCTACTCTCTCAATAATATGACTACTGATTTTAACATGAAGATTATTTTGTGTAATTGATTCTTTATCTGCTCTACCACCTATTAACATAAATTTTGTTTTAGATAAGTTCAATTTAAGAGAATTAATATTGAACCATACATGCAGGTGTTCCAAATCAATGTTCAAGGTCTCAACTAGGTCATTCATATCTTTAGACTTGAAATACAACAGTGTGTCATCTGCAAATAAATGGACTGAACATTTTTTTATTGGTCTGTTTATATCATTAATATAAAGGATAAATAGCAGTGGTCCCAAAGTGCTACCCTGCGGAACGCCTACGTCATTTAAAATTTCGGTCGAAGTATGTCCATTGATTTTGGTTACCTGCAATCTTTTGTCCAAGTAGTTACAAAGCCACTCCAATGCTTTATCAGCTATACCATATCTCTCCAATTTGGCTATTAACATAGACCTATTCACTGTTTCAAAAGCACGTTTCAAATCAAGAAAAACAGCACCAATTGCATAATTTTCATCCAGAAGATTTTTCCACTCATGAAGAATGTGCTGAATTGCAGTTTCACAGCTATGCAATTTTCTAAACCCAGACTGATTTTCTATCAATACATTATTTGCTGTAATAAAACTAACTAGTTGACCATAGACCACTTTTTCCAGTAATTTTTCGATAGTTCCTAACATATTTACTGGTCTAAAGTCTTCAACTTTAATAGACCCTCTAACTTTTTGTATAGGAATAACAGTTGCCACCTTCAACAATGATGGAACCCTGCCAACCTCCAGTGAGCTATTAATAATATGTAATAAAGGATTTTTAATATTTTCAAAAGTGTTTTTTATGAAATCTAATGTTATATCGTCAGGGCTACCCTTATTTGGTAAGCTAAATAAAACCTCGTGAAGTTTTTCATGATCTATCATCTTGAACGAACTAAGGGTATCTTTAGGTTTATCAAATACATAATTTATTTCTGAATAAGTATTATCTATACTATCAACTATGTGAAGCACACTATTAACAAAATATTTATTTATCCCATCTGCCATTTCTTCTGAAGAAGTATAAGTTACCCCTTCTATATCTATTTTTTTCATTTTATTCCCTTTTTTGTCAGAAATTACTTCACTCAATGTCTGCCACATTTTTCTTGGATTATTCTTTACATCATCAATTTTATTGTGATAAAATATTTTCTTTTCTTCCCTTATTACCATTAAAACCCTATTTCTACACTGTTTATAGATATTTTTGTTTTCCTCCGTTTTACTTATTTTATAATTTCTGTATCTATTATCTCGGTCCCTAATTGCTTCTTTAACCCTTTCATTAAACCATTCTTTATAATAGTATTTTATCAGTTTTTGTTCTCTTGGTGCTATTTCATTTAGCACCTTTAAAAGTTGACTATAAAAGATGGTATATTTAATATCTATACTATTATTTACCCGATAATCCCAATCAATTACACTAAGAGAATTATTTATTCTAAAATAATCAATTTTACCTCTTGTATTTATTACATTATTCTGCCTTTTAATTTTATTTAAATTTAAATTCATTACAACTATAAAATGATCACTTATTCGTGGAGTTTCCTCTACAGTACAACTTAAAATCTCCTTCTTATTTGAGAAAACCATATCTATAATACTTCCACCCACCTCTGTAGAATGAGTAACTTTTTTAACCAACTGTTCCAATCCTACATCAAGAGCAATTTTTTTTAATCTTGTAGAATAAGTGTTGTTATTTAACCAATTAATATTAAAATCACCTACTATTATAACTGGATGACCAATATCAAGCAATTTATCGCATATCTGTTCGAAAAACATCAAAAAATCAGCATGACTAGAACTAGGAGAATGATACAGATTTCCCAAAATATAAACCTTATTGAACAAACATATATGTATCTCTAGGAACCAGTAATTCCTTAGGTAGTTATACTTTTTAATTTGTAGAATACTGATTTGATCCTGTATAAATATCAATACCCCTCCCGTATGTCTATTATCACTGTCCTCTCTTATTATATTATAACCTGGTATATCAAACTCAAAATCACCAAAATCCCTAGTCAGTCTTGTTTCGGTCAGACACGCGGCAAGCACTTGTGTTTTTTGTATATATTCACTTATTTCATCGAATTTTGATGGCAAACTTTGTGTGTTTAATAAAATGATATTATTTTGCGATTTATGCGTATCTGTATGATAGTTATTTTTCTCCGACACTAGAAAACCAGTTCTTCTTTTTGTATTTGATCTAAAAAATGCTTGTCACAATCCGACACGAAACAGTTATCAGATAAGATTAAAGTGTTACTGGTTGGTTCCAAGATACATGTTGATCTCCCCATAACAGGTGGTTTTCAAACATTCCAAGTTTTATTGTATCATTGTGATTCAAAGGGAATTCTATTCTAGGAGCTAGTTCTTCTCCATTGCGAAAGGTATGGTACCTGGAACTAAAATCTTCAATAGTGACATGGTCTGCCTGAAAAAAGAGTAAATTTAGTTTTGAGCTAGAAATAAAGCTAAAAAGAGATGTGCGAAAGATACAGTTTTTAATTCTGGTGATGATTATTTTAAAATGAAAAATCACAATGTGTCTTCTTTTAAATGGTTAACTAGTTTAAAATTATTTAAAAATAAGTAAATACTAATTAGGATATATATGCAGGTGTTCTCCTCACTTAACCCAATGCGGAAAATTTATATTGTATAGCTGTATGGTTCTGCCTCACCTTACCTACTTACTGTGCAACTATTTCAGATAAATTAAATCAATTGAAATAAAAAATAGGATTGCACCGGCATATTTATCTAGGAGAATCACATATAACTGCGATATGCACTCCTATCCAACAAGATATCAAAATGATTTTCATATAGGCACCTAAGGTGCGCTCCCAAAATTCTTTGTTTACTAGCCTGAAAACATTTGAAAGGCAGGTAAAATCTTACCTGTACAGGGTTTCTGGTCATAAGTTGACACCCCACTGGGAGCCTTCACCTTTACAGGTAGACAATAGGTGTAAATACAAAAGTTGGGCAGTTTTATTGAATTTTCAGAATCCATCGTAATAAACAAAAATTTAATATGAGAAATGTGAAATTTTGCGGACTTTTAACTTTTCCCAAATAAAATGCCCTATATTAGGTTCTATATTCTTGAAAAGCACAATTTCAATGAAAATAGGGGATCGAGCAGCAAGAGGTTTTTCGAGCCTCTTGGATATTTATTTGGACAAAAGGCTTTGTTTATTCAAACGCACCCCTGAGTGAGATTTGCTATAGGGTAATTCAAGAAACAACATCATGAAACTATCTTGAAAATTGGAAAACACTTTTTTTTATAGTAAACTGGCAACTTAGTGGTGAAATAATAACCTTAGTATTTTGTACTCATTTCAAACTATTTAACCATTTTAGAAGATAAATTGTGTATTGGTATACCATAAAACTTTCGTTGCTGGCAACAAGGAAGGTCACTTCACATGAGTAAAAGACTGTCAGCTGTATGCAACATCCTCCTATAACTTAGAAGCGCTTTTTGAGACTGGTACCTTTAAAAATTTGTATGGCTTACAGCTAAATTAAATTATGGACCAACTGGTAAAGGTTCTGGTTGTTATAAAGTATATAGGTGAATTCTCAAAGTATAGAATTTACCTGGATCAGGACCTCTACCAGTTGGTCCATAATTTCGCCCTTAGAATACACATTTTTAAAAGTGACCAGTTTTAAAAAGCGCTTTTAAGTTAAAAGAGGATGTTGCATACAGCTATGTAAGTATAATAATTGAAACGATTTTAGAATATCGAGATTACGTACTTTGACTCGTAAAATAATATGTTTTCGGCTTATAGAAGAATCATTTTCCAACAAAAAATCATCGGTTAGCTTTCTTCCCATAGTATATTCCTTTTGTTCTGCCAAGGTAAATACCTTGCCTACAATAATAGCGTGCATTATTTCAAGAAAATGGGGCAAACAGGAAATTTACCCTTACTTACCATTTATAACATTTGTAAGCACATAAGGCATTTTGCACTAATTTTTGGAGTACAAACGTGTGTGATATTTTACTAAAAGTTTTAGTTAGGAGTTTATTGAAAAAGGAAATAGAAGAACATACAAACTTTTCGTGAAATCTTCCAAGAAAATTTGAATTAATATAAACAAATAAACACACACACAAGACAAAACACGAAATGAAAATAAAGCCTGTTCCACGATTGGGATGGCCTCCCGAATTCCCACCAAAAGTCATTTCTCAAACGTCGAACACCTACACCCGTTCATAAGGTTCGCTTGCTCACTCCGTGTACCCGGAGTACTCCGACTGTTCGGGTATAGTTTTTTAGCGTAAATAGAGTCACCACATTCAGAGGAGTGAATGGAGCTCACTCCGGAAGTTTAACATCGGGATTTTAAAAGTAAGTAGCGTGAGAATCGTCGAATACGCCTACTGATTAGTTGTATTCCTCTTAAGAACTTAACCCTAGAGCTATTCCCTCCGGTGTTAGTCGATACCGATGTGAAAGGAACAAATGCGCTGGCTTTCGTGCATTTAAATGGTGAGTTCGGGCTTGAGCGCTTCAGGTGCAACAAACACTTCTCCCAAGGAATACGCGCGTAACACCCCGGAGGTGTTCCGGAGTTCCTCCTAGGTGTGAAAGGAATACAACTATTTACTGTATTCCTTTTATACATCGGGTTACACCGAACGTGTCGCTCTAGAGCTTCTCGGAGTCACTCCAAAACACATATTTTAATTCTGATACTGGTCGCGTTCACCAGCACTCAACATGTTAAGTGATTAGTAAACGGCTTTATTCCAACAAGTGGAATACACAAGGTAGAACAGTTTTAAATGGCCTAGAGGCCCTGGAGCTGATTTTCATCTGTTTTCAACAAAGCTGCTGACTAATCAGTAATCACTCAAATCACTCAACATGTTGAGTGCCATAGGCGCCGGAACCATGGGGGCAATGGGGGCTTGAGCTCCCATAGTGATTTAGGTATTACATGTAATGGGCTTTGGTAGTTGGTAGGTGGGAAAATATTGAGTTCCTAACTGTTAATTTTTATATCAAATATGTGTTTTTTTGTTTTCGTTGTTTTTGCTATATCTACATTAGGGGCAGGGCCTATCGTCCAAAGTTTTTTGAAAACCAAAGTAGCATTTCGCGCACTAGATACAAAAATAACTATTTTTTTGCTGATTCGGATGAAATTCAGAATGTAGGTTAAAGGGTCCAGAAAAGTTGATATTCCAAGTTTCAGCTCTCTCCGACTTACCGGAGGGGTTTTAGCCCCTATCTCCCCAATTTTGGAAAAGGGCGTGTGATGTTGCATACAGGCCCTGCTTTTACTTTTCCAAATTTTGAGAAATAAAAAATACCACCGGATAGAGCCAAAAATACGACGAAAATATTTCTTGGTATTCTTGGCTCCGACGCTTCGTAAGCCCGGAAAAAAATAAAAAAGATTTTGATCCCGGAAAATTTTGGGGATCCGACACGGCCCCACTTTTTCGCCTATAACTTCGGTAATTTCGAAACGATTGTCTCGAATCAGGTTTTCTTCGAAAGAACAATAAATTACCTACAAAATTGTTTTTTATTGATATTTCAGGCTTCTGTCTCCGAGATATAAGCCGTCAAAGTTGAAATTTCTCTGAAAATGTATTGAAAGTTTTGAAGTCGATTTTCTCAAAAACGGTGCCCTGTGGAAGGGGAACTCTAATAAGCTTTTTTGTAGTTCTCAATGAGACAGGTTTTGTATTCAAGGTTTTTCTTCCAGGCTCTCTGTTTTCCAGCTAGGCTGTTTTGAAATTTTTTGTCATGACGGTCTAAAAGGGATCCCAAATATCTCCTAAATGGGTTCAGTTTATTTTATTTTTTTCTTTTTTTTTCTGTCTGTCTGTATAATTAATTCTACTTCTGGTAATTTTTGGAGCCCAAGCCCCCATAGTACTTTTGAGATTCCGGCGCCTATGTTGAGTGCTCATGGGAAAGGAGGGCTCACGCCGCACTATGAGCGACTCGAGTGCTTAACGCATTTTTAAAAGAGTTGTATTCCTTTCAAGAGTTTGACACACTCGAGCTACTCGCTCCGGCGTAAAGCCTAGTACTCATAAGTGCAAAATTCGCATTTTTTTGACATTGTGTTGACAATTTGACGGTTGATACATGCATAAAACGTCAAATTGTCAACGCAATGTCAAAAAAATGCGAATTTCGCAGTTATGAGTACTAGGCTTTAGGCCGGATTTTCATGCATCCGTTTTCCGACGAAATATGTTTGAAAAATCTTCTATTTTGACATATTTTTATACGATTATGTCAGAATAGAATGTTTTTCGGACATCTTTCGTCGGACAAACGGATGCATGAAAATCCACCCTTTAGGGCGAGTTTTATAAAACTGCTTTGAGAGTTAACTTAAAGTTAACTTCTGGAATTACATGTAATTCAAAAAGTTTACTTCAAGTTAACTTTCAAAGCAGTTTTATAATACCTGCCATTAGTCGTCCCCGATGTGAGAGGAACAGATGCGTGGTGCAACAAACATTTTTCGGAAGGAAAAAGCGCGTAACGCCCCGGAGCTGTTCCGGAGTTTCTCCTAGGTGTGAAAGGAATACAACTATTGATTGCCGTACAAGGCGCTACTAATCAAGGATAATATATACTACTACAGGATTGCTTATTGCCTCGTTTTTGGTAATCGCGATCATATGGTGTATAGTATAAACGAAGACGTCATTAAATAAGTCTTCAGCTGCTCGCGCCAGCGGTCGTATTTTAGAATTTAAATTTATGATGAAAAATAATATTCAATTTTGATTAACATAATAGGCAGAAAGGAAGATACAAACGAGATCTAAAAAAAAATTGTTTTAGAATGGCATTTAATTTAATAAAAAAAATGCATAAAGCAAAATCCCGTGAAATCATAACCTGTGGTGCAGACACTACGTCCAGCGAGAAACGACACGCTTCTACGTCATCACTGGTGCTGTCACATAGTGGGTGGCAAGGTAGGTGGTGGCACGTGGGTTTGAAATTTGAACTACACAGGCCCTTTAAGGATAAGCTATCCTGTAGTGGTAGTATGTATTATCTTTGCAAGGTGGCAAAGAAATCACCGCAGCCGCATTGCCACTCAACAGTTCTGAATAGAGCCGCATAGAAGTGCACTCTGTCCCGAACTAAGCCGCCTTCTTTTTGGAGAGTCACAAGCTTTGGGAGATATTCATTCGGTCTTTAGTGCTTCATTGTGTAAGTTGTATTCCTTTCACACCAAGGAGGAGCTCCGGGGCGTTACGCGCTTATTCCTTTCGAAGAGCGTTAGTTGCACCCAATGCTCAAGCCCCAAGGATGATGCACCCCTACAGGATTTTTATCGGCCTCGTTTTTGGTAATCGCCGTCATATAGGCGTGTCACAATTTCCGACGTCATAACTCAGTCATCATATGTTTGAAGAGCCTACGTCAAGGCGAGATAAAATATGCTGCCAACGTCACAACTGGTGATTTGTAATGGGTGTTGGAACGAATTTCAAAGTAATTTTGAATTGATTTTCATTTCTTTCCAAATAATTATTTTTGATTGAGCTGTCATGTCTTGAAGGAACTGAACGTGATAATGCGCTCCGGAATCAGCGCGAACTCATCGCGGAACAACGGCAGTAGAAGTCGGACCAGAAAAAACAATTAAAATTTTGTTGAATGGTTGCTTAGAGATTCAAAAGCTAGAGAGGTTATGCCTTTTGTCTTTGAAGCTTCATTTTTTTCATTTTTCTACGTTCACGGGCTCCAGCTTTGAAGCTACGTCAGCTTAACTTTTTCTTTTACCTATACAATTAAATATTCAATATACTACGGTGTGATTTACAGTCTTTTTCAAGTTCAATTATTCGCAATGTCCGAAAGCATGCTTCAATTAGTGCTTTAACCGGAAAAGCGGTATGTTGGTACTAGCTCGTGTCTCAACAATGGGGGAGAGGGGGGATTTATTACACACAGGCCTTTTGAGGATAGGCTATCCTGCAGTGGTAGTGTGTATCATCCTAAATAGTTGTATTCCTTTCACAACCTAGGATGAGCTGCGGAACAGCTCCGGGGCGTCACGCGCTTATTCCTTTCGAAAAGTGTTTGTTGCACCTGAAGTGTTCAAGCCCGAATCAAACCAGGTTATTAAATGCAAGAAAGCAAACGTATCTGTTCCTTTCAAATCGGGGTCCACTAACACCGGAGCGAGTAGCTCCAGAAGAGCTCTTGAAAGGAATACAGCTCATAAACCATTTAAATGCACGAAAGCTAGCGCATCTGTTCAGGGTCGACTGGCCCGTATTCATAAGGTGGGTTCGGCTTGCTCACTCCGTGCACTCTGAGTGACTCCATTCGCACTCCAGCCGTTCGGGTATTGCTTTTTACCGTATTAGGGGTGACTCCATTAGCTCTGTTCACTCCACTCCAACTCCGCGCTGAATAGCCGAACCCAGCTATAGTCGATGCTCAAGAGTCAATTTTGCGTCTTGGCGCAAGTACGACTTGACGCCATTTTTACGTTTCCAAACAGCACGGAACGATGCTCAAAATTGTCAAAAATCGGAGCTTGAGCGAAGCACCCGTCTATGAATACCGGGCTTATAACACTGGAGCGAGTAGCTCTGGTGCTCTAAACTCTTGAAAGGAATTCAACTATAAGGGCGGGTATTATAAAACTATTTTGATTAAAATTTACTCAAGGGTGAGAGTAGGTATATAGTCACGTTGTCAGAAGAGTAAATTTTATGTTATCTGGTGTTTTCAAACACTTTGGTGTATAATTATAACCTAACATATAAACATAACATTAGCCCAGTGTTCTGTGCATTTATCTGTCATAAAAGTTTTATAATAGAAAGTTCTCGTGCCTCAGACACTACGCTGATACGGTACCGCCGGCGGGTATTATAAAACTGCTCTGACAGTTAACTTGAAGTTAACTTTTTGAAATACGTGTAATTCCAGAAGTTAACTTCAAGTTAACTATCCCCTTAGGGCGGGTATTATAAAACTACTTTGAGATTTAACTTAAAGTTAACTTGTGGAATTACATGTAATTCAAAAAGTTAACTTCAAGTTAACTGTCAAAGCAGTTTTATAATACCCGCCCTTATTCTGTTCACATTTTGACAGCTGACTCAACTTTTTTTTTGCTTGTTTTCTAACTTTAATTTATCCTGAAGATTCCTGAATTCCATTAATTGGTGTTTTTTTATGGAGGAATTATTAATTAGAACTTTTGCATGTAAATTAAGCGTAAACTAATTTTGACATAAAGTGCGTTTTTTTTTAAAGATAATTTCCCCAAGTCAAAAATTTAGTAACTATGTTGGCAACACAAGCCTTTTCTACATAAAAATTTTGAAAGCATTGACAATTTTACATTGTATTGCCAACATAATGTCAGTTTGACTTTTATCTTAAAAAAAAAAAACAGATTTTAGCATAGCGTTACGCTAAGACATCCGCTAAGGGCGGGTATTATAAAACTACTTTGAGAGTTAACTTAAAGTTAACTTCTGGAATTACATGTTATTCAAAATGTTAACTTCAAGTTAACTGTCAAAGCAGTTTTATATTACCCACCCTATGTCCCGTTAGGTAGCGGGCTCCGCTAACGCTAATACGGTAAGAACTGTCATACTTGTCGAATAACGTTACGGTATTTGAAATTTGGACAGCACGAGAACGTTCTAATATCCGCCCTTAGGGCGGGTATTATAAAACTGCTTTGAGAGTTAACTTAAAGTTAACTTCTGGAACATGTAATTCAAAAAGTTAACTTCAAGTTAACCGTCAAAGCAGCTTTATAATACCCGCCCTTAGTTGTATACCTTTCGCACCTAGGAGGAGCCCTGTAATAGCTCCGGGGCGTTACGCGCTTATTCGTTTCAAAAAGTGTTTGTTGCACCTAGGTCCTGATTCTTGAAACAGGGGAGCAGCGTACTCACAGAGGGAGAACGAGTGTTCCGTCTTACTCAATGATATGCAAACGATAGTATAAATAACAAAGACGGAACACTCGTTCTCCTGGGAGCGCTGCCGCCCTATTTTAAGAACGGGGACCCTATAAGTGCTCAAGCCCGAACTCTAATGATTGTAAGACAGCCAGCGCATCCTTTCAAATCGGAGTCGATTAACACCGGAACGAGTGGCTCTAGTATTCTAAACTCTTGAAAGGAATACAACTATTCGCACAGTCAGTCTAGTATGAAAAAGCTTCAGGGCAAATGGGGGAAGCTTCGAAACTTGAATGCACCAACTAACTAAACATGGAAAAATAAAATGTTTCTTTACAATAAACTATAAACTAAACGTAGTTTATAGTTCATTGGTTTCTTATGTTTCTGGTTACATCCCTAATTCCTAGAATCGGTGAACCGGAACTACTCCTAAATTGATCCGGATCGTTCGAGTTCTGTTCGGAATTGATCAGAACGGAAAGTGATCGGCGTAAAAGGCTATGACGAATTGGTTTGTTGTTCGTGCTGCACTATATGGGAGTGTGACGCTCGGAGCGTTGAGCTCCCGAGCTATACGTACGGACAAACGTCACGATACTGGAACGGTACAAATTTAGTGCCTGGCGCTCCCTGGATCCTCTAGAGAGCGCCAATAAGCATACTGGAAATAAGCTCTGAATGCAAAATATTTCAGGTTAGTGAGGTCACTTGTTCAAGTAATAACTGCTTAAAACAGAAATGAATCTTACCCAAACGAACGGAGCTCATCATAGAGAGCTTATCTTGTTTTCCAATTTACAAGTAACCTGCAGCTTTTTTCTGGAAATGGAAAGTGCATTTAGAACTTTTTTTGAAGTTAGAGTACAGACATAGAACTGTTAACTCCAAACAGAGCTGGGCAGTAGCTAGCTACCAAGTAGTTAAGCTACTAGCTTAGCTACTTTTTTGGTAGCTAATAACTTATTCAAGCTACTTTGAAAAAAAAGTAGCTTGTAGCTGTAGCTTTTGGTAATGTGTTTCAAGTATTCATAAGCTACTGTAAAAAGTAGCTAGCTACTAAAACAAGCTACTTAAGCTACTTTTGGTAGATAGTTAATAGTTATTTAGGTCATTTACCGCCCGAGGGTGTGGTTATCGATACTTAACTCTCAAAATACTTATTATGCTTTATGCGCAGCGGACTCCTTCTAGTTCAAAAATGAAATAACTATACCTATAATATAATGGCATCCATTCGACATTTTAAAAAATAAAGTTTTCCCCTTATAAAGGCACGTTTCCACCAACCTATCGCCCGCGTTTGAATTTACCGCTCGATAAAAGTAACTTTATACTTTAATCGCTCAAGCTACAATTATCATTTTCCGGAAAATTCTTATCCTGTCTTGCTTAGACTAGTTTCTAGTTATCTCTGTAGGTACCTATGTTTTATGTGTCCTATTTTCTCGCATTCGCAGATCACTGTGATCAAAGTGAATCTAATAAATTAATGTCCAGTGGTTTTTGACAGAAATATGAATACTACTTCTTAGAGAAAGTTAATATGTTATTTTCGTATGATGATATTATGAAATTAAATTAGGTAAGGTTGATTGGTGGCGATTGTGCACGCTTTTTTGTTTTTATCAATTTAACTTTCAAAAAAGTAGCTTAAATAGTAGCTTTCAAAAATTCAAAATGTAGTTAAGCTACTAATAGTTTAGCTACTTTTTCAAAGAGGTAGTTGAGCTACTGAGTAACTTAGCTATTTACAATATAAAGTAGCTTGTAGCTTGTAGCTAGCTACTTTTTCCAAGTAGCTTGCCCAGCTCTGACTCCAAAGCCAGTGCAGATTGAACATGAACTAAGCAGTTTTGGACAAGCGTGTAAATAGAGCATGATCAGAGGAATAAATGGAGGTCACTCCGGAAGTTCTACATCAGGATTTTAACAGTAAGTATAGCAAAGACCGTCGAATAAAAAATATTATTTAATTTTGATCAACATAATGCAAACAAGATCTAGAAAAGAGTTATTTTAGAATGCTAATTGATGTAAGAAAACCAAGTATGCATAAAGCAAAAGCCTGCAGAATCATAACCTGTGGTGCAAACAACCTACGTCCAGGCGAGAAACGACACGCTCACTACGTCATCACTGGTGGTTTGGCATAGCGAGACATTCCTAAAAGCTCCAAGTATAGTAAAGCTTCAGTGCAAAGGGGGGAAGTTTCGAAAAACAAATGCACCAACTGAACAGATGTAAAAAGCATGTTTTCCTTATAATTCTAGTTGAATTCCTAATCCCTAGAACCGGTGAACCTACTCCTGAATTGATCCGGATCGTTCGAATTCAGTTCGGATATAATCAGAAAGTGATCGGTTTGAAAGGCTACAGAGAGGTCTCCTGTTGAAGAAATAATAACTGCTTAAAGCAGAAATAAATGTGACCCAAACAAACGGAACTCATCTTGTTTTCCAATTAACAAGTTACCCTGCAGCATCAAAATGGAAAGTGCATTTATAAAACTTTTTTTAAAGTTAGTTCATTTACATAGAACCGTTAATATTAGTTATTTTAATTTAAGAGTTCATATTTTGCTGCCCTATTTAACTCCTTTTCCAAAGCCAGTGCAGGCTGAACATGAACTGAACACAGTTTCGGACAACCTAACGAAACATAACCTATAAACAAACATAACCTACAAACAAAAACGAAACTTAACAACAAACTGGATTTGAAATTTGTTTAAACAGAAATTATTTGTTGAAAAATCAATCTTTATTATAAAATAATGTCCTTAAAGCGACATAAATCATCATTCGATGAAATCAGTACCCAGCTGGTCCCTGTAGAAGAAGCTTCAACAAAACAGTCTCAAGAAGAAAAATGTTCGGGTTCAACAGAAGAGTTCCGGGACGATGTGAACGTTTTGTGGGACTACAATTCGCCTCAATCAAAACCGAAATCCAAGGGACGGACATCAGACAAAAAGAAACTCAAATTGGAAAATTACATCATGAGTCCGAGAGCGCCTCTGAGAAGACATTTGTCTGACAACGACAAACAAATAATAAAGCAGGATTTTTGTAAGTTGCGAGAGGAAATGAAAGCCCTAAAAGCTGCACTTGCCAAGCCTGATCACGAAACGAGTCTTGTGATATCTCCTAGAGAGGAGAGGTTTTTTAAAATTGATTTAGAAGAGTCTCCTCCGGATGATTTTGATGATATTATGAATTTTGATCCGTTTGATGACAATATGGATAATCAATTATTAACTTTTAGTCAACAAATTGAAGAAAATCCTATTAACTGTGATATAAATGGGACAAAAGTGAAATCGAGGCTTGAAAAACCTGATGTTTTTAATGATTCTTTTGATAATGCTATGGGCGATTTTGATTCGGACATTTTGGATCAGATGACTCAAGTTATGGATATTGAACAAGCTAAAAATGCTAGTGATAATAAACAAACTGTAACATTCTATCATTCTCCAGGAAAGAGCACACAGTGTATACAAAGTTTTAATAGTGAATTATCTCAAGAAAAACTACAAGAAATTGAAAAAAAGAGACTGGAGGCTTTGGCTAAATTAGAAGCAAAAAAACGTCTGAACCCAAATAGAACTGCTACACAAGAAAATAAGCATGTACCAAATTTCAAATGTGACAGTAAAAGTGAATTGTCTGAAGAAAAGCTACAAGAAATAATCGAAAAGAAGAGACTGGAGGCTTTGGCTAAATTGGAAGCGAATAAAAAACGTCTTGATCCTGATAAAACTGTTGAAATTGCAACATTTTGTAAGTAGTTTTTATTACTTTTAACACTCCACACTTCATTTTCCAATCAAAAAAGATTCCAAAGGTTTTCCCAGCTGTATGACTTTGAAAGATAAGAAAGCAGATTCACCTGCGGAAATTGTAGAGCTTTTTAAAGATCATTTTAGCTCCGTATATAACGAGGTATATAAGGTTTATGATGATTCAAACAATTTTAGTGTGTGTTGTGATATTACTGTTAATTTAGGTTTTTTGTCCATTAAAGTCATGGATATACATAATAAGATTTCCCAGCTGAAGGACAACTTAGGGACAGGTCCAGCAGATGGTATTCCTGTTACTGTCATTGAAAAGCATATAGGTACTTGTTCTCTCACCTCCTGTGTGAAATATACATGTGATCATTGTCCACAGGAATTTTTCCAACGGTTTGGAAGACTAGTTTTGTAACCCCATTTTTTAAGAGTGGTGACAATTACAGCATTGAGAATTACAGGCCAATTTCAATTGGGATACGCCCTTCTGGACCTGTCTCAAACCCAGCTTCAGTTTTCTGTCATGCCAAGTGTACAGAGTGGCCTATAAGTAGTACATCCCTCCATAGAAGAGAAGTCATGATACTATTTCTAGGGTAATATCGAGGGTAATATTATTATTCAATACATATCTTATTGTACCTATACCAAGCGAGTTTCTCTTTACCTGAACCCCACTTACGCCCCCAGGTCACGCTCCTGTTGTGACGTCCCAAGACGAAACGTATAGGGGTTCTGATAATAGTTACAGATAAATTAACACCTCTATTCAAGAATATAGTTATACCAGAATAACATAGGTTCATGAAATCCACAGTCACCAACTTGTTGGAGTTTGAGCAAGCTCTATTTGATGCATTGGAGGAGGGGTATTAGGTGGACCTGATTTTTACCGACTTCGCCAAGCTGTTTACTGTTTGACATGGTTGCCCATAAAATTCTGGAAAAAAAAAACTGGAAAGTATGAGGTTCATGGATCATTTTTGAGGTGGGTGATTGGCCATTTTTCAGGAAGAAAACATAGAGTGAAGATAGAAAACTCAGTCTCATCAGAGATTAACATCACTTCTGGTGTTTTGCAGGGTGTGGGCATCTGTCCCCTCTCCTTTCCAATATTTTCTTGAATGATAAAAATGTTTTTAAACACTGTACAGGGTGGCCCATTTTCGATGTTCCAATGGGCTTATATCAAAAACCAGCAGAAATATCAAAAATCTGGGAGCACATTCTCGAGCTCTTTATTTGGGAAAATAACAACGGCGAAGACAAATCATGCGTTTAGGAAATACAGGGCACTTTTCAAATTTTGTCCAATTTTAAAAGACTCTCTAATTTCCAAAAACGAAAAATACTCTCTAGTGGTAGTTTTTCAAGTAGAATTCAGTGGCATGACCAATTTTTTTCCAGATGCCACCGATTTTGGAATATTGACCAAAGTTGTGTTTTTTCAAATGGGACACCCCCTATATAATTTTTTCAATGAATAGCTCTCTGTGAGCTGATTTCAATGATATAAGGTTTTATACCTTTACCTTCAATAGTTTTGGAGAAAAAAAATAAATTCCGTTTTTTCCATAAGAAACAAGAAACAATGAGTTAGAAAGAGATAGTTGAACTATAAATCGGCTACATTTTTTTTAATTCTTAATTTAATTTTTCAGTTCAGCTAATTTTTTTTTAATTTGAACTATGAATCGGGGGTGATAAATAGGCAATAGAGTCCGCGTCAGCAGTAAAGACTACGGTGACGAAATAAAAAGCTGCGCGAAGCGGGTCGGATCTCTCTCCCTCGTCTATCTCTCGCTGTCTGCCGTGACCTCGGCCGTGAGCTGAAACCAGCAGCGGGGTATCTTTTTAGACAAAACTTGGATACAAAATAAACCAAATAAATATGCCTGCTGGCCGTACGACAACGAACCACGTGCTTGGCGTTCGGCAGCAGCACCGATCGATACGATACTTCCGTTAGTCTTCAAAATTGGGTTTGTGCGCAAATGACGTCACCGTACTCTTTTCTCTTGACGCGGACTCTACATAATTAATGACTTATTTCTCTTTAGCTCATTGTTTTTTATGGAAAAACGGAAGTTTTTTTTTCTCCAAAACTATTAAAGGTAAAGGTATTATATCATTGAAATCAGCTCACAAAGAGCTATTCAATGAAAAAAATAATACACAAGGTGTCCCATTTGAAAAAACACAACTTTCGTCAATATTCCAAAATCGGTGGCAGCTGGAAAAAATGGTCATGCCACTGGATTCTACTTGAAAAACTGCCTATAGAAAGTATTTTTCGTTTTTAGATATCTTGAATAATAAGGAAATTTAGAGAGTCATTTAAAATTGGATAAAATTTGCAAAGTGCCCTGTATTTCCTAAACGCATCAAGTTAGCCGTGATTTGTCTTCGCCATTGTTATTTTCTCAAAAAAAGAGCTCGAGAATGTGCTTCCAGTTTTTTCATATCTCTGCTGGTTTTCGATATAGCCTATTAAAATATTGAAAATGGGCCACACAGGTACATTTCTCAATTTTGCTAATGACATGAAAGACTTTGTCACTATAAAAAATATCCATGACTGTGAAATCTTGTAAGGAGAACTCAACAATTTCTTCAGCTGGTAAGTATCAAGAGTAAAAATTGAAAAATTAGGCTTTTGCTGAAGAAATTGAATAATTTTAAAAGTTAAATGAAGAAACCCAACAAGAGGTAAAAAGATTGAAAAACGAAAACACTGTCAAAGAGTAGATCATTGGGATCAGCAAGCAAGGGCAAATAATGTAGTCATTGTTGGTATTTCAAACAGCATTGAAAAGCAAAAATCCAACTCTCAAATCAAACGAAAAGTTGACAAGGTCATTAGCCACATAGATCCTGGAATAAATCCCACAGAATACCAGATACATATCGTAAGCAAAGCTAAAGAAAACTCTCCATTGCGGATCTCTTTTCATAAGCCACAATGTAAAGAGAGCCTGGTGGCTGACAAGAAAGAAAATGGAAAAATTCAAGTGTTCTTGTTGTCTCTGGTTCAAAAAAGTGATTGCGGACTGGATGAGTCGAATCCAATTTATGTGAATGAAGACTTGACCAGAAAAGTGTGAGAGCTGTTTGGTGAGGCTCGAAAACTATGCAAAGATGTTAGATATAAATTTTTATGGGTTAAAGCTGGAAATGTATTTGCTAGGAGGAATGGATAATTCATGTGACATCGGGTATTCTAAATATAGGTTAATTACCCATAAATATGTATGGGATATCCACAAACTTTGTTAACTTTTTGGTGTTTTTGCAATCAGACAGAATTTGATATAATAGCTTTGTCGGAGACCCATGTGTGATAATTTAGACTGATTTTAGATTGACAAAAATAGTGTCTTCTACAATGAAAGTAGGGTCAATAGGTGTGACAGGACATGGACAGGACTAAAATTTGCGCTAAAAGTAATCTGGTTACAGATGCTCACATTATAACTGTTAACCAATCCAAATTTATAAAAGTAACCTTGTTAAAAAACTCGATGTTAGTTGGGGTCTTTGCGCTTAACCGATTGCCATCAACGTGCCAAGAGTCTTACCTGCTGGATTTGGAGAACTCATTACAAAGTAATTTCAAAAATTGCGCTGTAGATATATTTGTGGGCGGCTCTAATTTGAATCCTTTGGATCCAAAGTCTGGCAATGTCAATAGGCATATTAATATTCCAGGTTCTGCTGGATATAGGAATCTCATAGAGAAACACACAAGAGTGATTGGAGAAAGAAAAGCTGCATTGATCATATAGCGGCTAGGACTAATGGCCAAAATAACATAATTCAAAATTTAAATTCTCTAATATTGATAAGCAGCATCTCTAATCACTACCCAGTTTTGTTGAATTTACAATAAAATCCCAAAAAATGAAACCTATAAACCCATAAAAAATTAGATTCCAAAAAAAAAACTAATTGAGCAGCGGTTGACTCTGACATGACAAAATGAGATTTGGCAAGACCGAGAGGTTTTTCACCTTATTAATCGGTGTACAAATCACTGCTTAATATATGTCAATACCAGATAAATAGTATGTCAATAGTGTCCATACTAAGCAATATATGTTAATGTCATTGGTTGATACCCATTATTAACATGTAAGTACCTGTGGATATGTCAATACCTAGAATTCTGGCAAGAAAAATATTTGATCTTAGTCTGTCAATAGCATGGCAATACCTGGTAATATGTGATAATACTAGGGAAATACCTGGCAATATGTGGAAATATTTTGTTAATACATGGAAATAGTTGGCAATAATTTGTTATTAGAGAAATATCTGTTAATACATGGAAATATCTCAGTTAGTGCTGTTAATCGGTGTACAAATTTTGTAAGGTGAAAAACCCCTCGGGCAAGACATTTTGCAGAGCCATGACCCGAATTACATTGCACGAAAATTTGTTGATAGGCTTCAAACTCATATACAAGCATGTATCACTACTAAATAAACAAAATCAATATCTAAGGCGAGGTCTAAGGCTATTAAACCTTGGATTTTTTTTTTTTACGGATATGCGCACTCGCAAGGAAATGTCCTATCACGCTCGAGAAGCGGCAAGTGTGCGGAAATGTCGGTGTATGTTGGTCTTGAAACGGTTCAGGTTGTAACCTGCAGGGAAAACCGTCGCAGGGAGTTTATTCCACAGCGATGCTGTTCTGCAGAGATATGAATTCTGATATAATGAGGTTCTTGGTGCCTCTAATTTGACAGTAAATTCATGGTTACCGTCTGTTTGACGGGTTCGCCTGGTAGGCGCTACTCTTGGTGGAATCATACGTGCCAACTCTTCAGAGCATTTTCCGTGATAGTACCTGTAGAAGAGAGATAAATCGCCCACAGATCTGCAATGTTCGAGACCATCCAAGTTACGAGTAAGTGCGGGGTCATTGATCAGCTTGATAGCTCGTTTTTGCACGGTGTTCAAAAGCATTAAGGTATGTTTGGGTGCTGCACTCCATATATGTGAGCAGTACTCCATAGTTGGTCGAATCTGGGCTTTGTAGAGTGTCAGCAATTGGCTTGGTGTGTACAGATGTCTTGTACGAAATAGCACCCCCAGCTTTTGGGACGCCCTTTTAGCAATATCTGCCACGTGATTGTGCCAAGACATGTTGGTCTCTGCAGTAACCCCCAAGATGTTCAACTGACTCTGTAATGTGACAGCACTTGCAGATAGCATGATGTTTGGCTCACCGGTGCTGTTCTTTTTTGAAAACAGAGCTGCTTGGGTTTTCTGTGCGTTGAACTGTACAAGGTTTTTGTTACCCCAGTCCTCTATTATCTCCAGGTCGTTATTTATCTGCGATATTTGAGTTAGTCTAAGATGATGGAATTCACGTGCGGAAAGACCTGTGGGTGGTATGAGTGAGGAGACTACATTGCCATCGTCTGCAATGCAATAAAGTGGATTTACTGTTTTATCTATGAGGTCATTTATGTAAATCAGAAAAAGAGTTGGCGAAAGGATTGCTCCCTGTGGCACACCAGCATTTATTTGGTAAGAGTTGGAGTTCTGGCCATCCAGTGCAACATAAATGGATCTGTCCTTTAGGTAACTTTCAAACCCAGTGCAAAGTTTCGGCGATAATCCCATTGCTTTGAGCTTGTTGAGCAGATTTTCATGCCAAACTTTGTCGAATGCTTTAGATATATCTAAGGCAATTGTTCTTGTTTCGGATGGATGACCCAAGGCCTTGTGACATCAATAAGGAAACGGGATAGGCTCAAAAAAATTGCATCCAGTGACCCACATAAACCTGACTTACTAAACAATTAGGGCCAGTTTCACGAACAGTGTTAACCCAACGATAACCAGAAGACACTGGTAACCTACCTACAATATATTTGTTTCATAATATTTGGTTTCGTCAAAACTATTGGTTAAGCTCCAGAATATTCCTTGTAGTCAACCCGCAACTATGAGTTTGATAACCAGTGCAGGTTACCACCAATTGTGAAACTTGGCCTTACAGAAACTATAGAAAAAAGCTAAAACTCTGTATTATAAGATATCTATTGCTGAGAACATAGGGAATCCGAGAAGGTTGTGCTCGAGGTTGTGGCAAGTTATAGGAGAAGTTACCTCGGAAGTTACAAACCACAATAAATGTAAAAATACCGTTACGGCAATTAAATCAGATATAGGTCAGGTGATTACAGATGATAGACTATGGCTGAAAATTTCAATGAATTTTTCAGCTCGGTAGGTGAGAAGTTGTCAAATAAAATTGCTAGCCCTAGTAATATTTTAACAGATGAAAAACAAACCAATAATTATATCATTTTCAATCTCATAACAGATAATGGAAATAAATTCATCAAAGAATGGAGCTGCCAAGGGTGAGGATGGTATTGCAGTTAACATAGTCAAGAGAAATCATCAGTGTTTGCTGACATCACTTAAACATCTGGTGAATGTTGTCTTCAGCTGTGGCGTTTACCCTGAAGTTTTCAAAAATTCATCATACCAATACATAAATCAGGAGTCAAAACTGAGATTAACAACTATAGACCCATAGCCCTTACAAGCACGATAAGCAAAATCATTGAAAAGTGCATCAAGCTGAGGCTATGTCATTTTTTGGAAACTGAAAACCTGTTATCACAAGCACAGTTTGGGTTGGTTTTGTTTTGCGTAACTATTCTGATTTTTCTGTATTAAAAAAAAGGTACCCAGTGGTAAGTTTGCTAGGTGGTTCAGTCTGGATCTCATAAGTCTAACAATACAAAAGAACATTGCCCATAGAAATTACAAAAAACAGTAAATCCGCTCATGACTATGAAGTTTTTTCTTGCCTAAGATCACAGTGTGCAGTCCTTTCCCAGGAATGTTATAGGAGTAAGTGCTTTCATGGGTCCTGATATTCCTGATGCTGCCAACCTATTTGCAGGATATTTTTCCTCGGTCTACTCTGCCTGTAACCTACAATGCAATCAAAGGTTGTCATTAAATCATAATAATGGTTTCAATTACTCCATTTCCATATGTCACATATACACTGAGCTTATTAGCTTGAATGCTCACAAGGGTCTGGGTCTAGATAATATTCATCCTGTCTTTTTTGAAACTGCCCCTTCTTCTCACTAAGCACATATTCAATAAATCTTTGGGAAGCGGATCTTTTTCCAAATTCTGGAAAACAAATTTTGTCGTCTCAATACATAAATCTGGAGACAAGTGTGGGTAGAAATACTGAATTAAATTTCCTTACCTATTCTCAGTTTGTATTGCAGGCCTTGGAGAGTGGAGTGGAGGTCCATTCCGTTTACACAGACTTTTCCAAGGTTTTTGATAAGGTTCCACATAATGAACTGATAGACAAACTTACAACGATGGGTATAAATGAACCCTTACTCTGCTGGCTAAATATATAGATTAAGAATTATTGTACTGTAAAATGGCTTGTCCGTTGATAAAATTCTATTCCATTCTATAACCAACTTACTTCAGTTTATTACAGGGAAATGATAGGTATGTATAAATAACACAAATTTTATAGATAGTTGGGAAGCAAGAAATTGCCTAACTTTGCCCCAATTTAACCCACCCTGCTATCTCTTATAATTACCGAAATTCCCATACTTACTCGCGAATTTGTAACACCCTGTATATCACTTGTTACAATTTTAGTATATTCAATTTTTATTGTTGCATAAAGAGTAACTTGCCTTCAATTTTCTTAATAGGTACCTTTTTTTGTACTGAAAATTCCCAATCCTCCTCCTGTTAAGATTTTTTTCTTAATACATAATTAATTGAGTTGTTTATTTAACAGCACCAGAAAAACACAATTTCCCTTGCATCTCCAAAGATGAAATTGAAAAGAAGAGATTAGAGGCCATGGCAAAACTACATGCTAACAAAAAACGTGTTGAGCCCAATAAACCCAAAGTCACAGGTTGTAATTATTAATAGTTTTAATTATATTCTACTAAATTGTTGATTTAATAGATATTATTCATTGTACGCCAGAAGACAGGACAACAAAACCAGTGCAAACTTTTAATTTTGACAATAACTTGCAAGAAATTGAAAAGAAGAGATTGGAAGCTCTAGCTAAATTAGAAGCTAATAAAAGACGCCCCGAATCCAATAAAGCTCCTGAAAGTACATCATCATCAAATTGTAAGTACCTAATTAATGTTTTAAGTTCCTCATAAATAAATTGTTGTTGCTTCAACAGCTCCTCTGCACTGCACACCAGAAGAAATCGAGAAAAAGCGCTTAGAGGCGCTAGCAAAACGCGAAGCCAAAAGACAGCAGGATATTATTGAAAAAAAGAAGCTAGAAGCCTTGAAACGTCGAGAAGAAAGCCGGAAAAAAATGCAAACTAAGATTTTTTGAATTGTCTACAATAAGGTTTAATTTGAGACAAGAATTATATTAGCCAAAAGAAGCCCTATCCATCCTTTGTCATAGATAAAAACTGTTTTTTTTTTTGTGTCTAACAACTTTTTTTTATCTCTAGTAGGGTGTTTTGGAGTTGTCAAAGGATACATTAATTTAGAATTTTAGATCAAAATACAAGAAATGCCATATAAATATTTGCAAAACACAAAATATTTTTATAAGAATAACAATTAGATATTTTACCTGTACGCTTCTGTAGATTGGCTTAAAATGTAGCTGTAGACGGTTCGTTTCTCAAAGTCTTCTTTGTCTTGACAGTATATTGTTTGATTGTATTTCCATTGGTGTAATAACACAGTTGTTTTGATAAGTTATTTTTTTATGAATAAATCAATTTAATATGTTCGAAAAATCTTTTAAACTTTTTGAAAAACTGTCACGAATAGTGTTTTACTGTAGAAAAAGATTGGGGTTTATGGTACCTGAATTTCAAGTTGATCCAATGAAAAACAACATGAGATTTTCTTGAAAATCAACTATCCAGAACTCGACTTAGAAAATGTACTGGGAAACTAATATTCCTATTCACATATTATCTTATCCATGACTGAAATGAAACAAAATAATTTCAAAATCAAGAAAAAAAAATAAATTTATTTAATCACTCTTATAAATCCCAAGCGAATTATCCTTAAAATTAATAACAATAACACTAATATTATCCATGCTGCCTTTATAGTACGACTGTAACGTTATACTTTTAGCTCCATAATCAGGTTCATCAAGTCGTTCTTTGATAAAATTCACAGCGTCTTCATTCGAAAATATATCCCATAAACCATCAGAAGCCAGTATGAGAAATTGCGGTTTGTGATCTTTCAATTCAAAAGTGAGTATATCTGGATCCGCTATGACCAGCTTTTTGTCTTTTAAAGGATAATCTCCTAAAGCTCTGGAAGTAGCTAAAATCCCAGCTACTCTCCAAACACCGTTGAAAGTTACAAAACCTCCTGCTTCTTTTATGCGCTTTTTTTCCCGCATTTGCTGTGGCTTGTGGTCGAATGACAAAGGTATGGCGTTGCCTTTGCTGTCGCACATAACTCCTCTGGAGTCTCCAACATTTGCCACGTAGAGTTTGCTACCTTCTAATAGAGCTATGAGAGCTGTAGTGCCGGCAACATCGAAAGATTTTTTGGCTACTTCAACTAATCGCTCGTCAGCAGCTAATACTTCATCTGTTATAAGTTTTTCATAGTTTACTATGCCAAATTTGTCAAAGTACGAGGTTATGGGTACTTTTTTCATGCTAGGAGTTAGTTTTAATGGGCGAGTATCTCTTGTTATTGGCTTGATTGTATCAAGTTTGCTCAAAATTTCATTGTCAGTTATTTCTTTTGGGATTTTTATGCATTCATCTGTTGTGGAGCTTGTTCTTCTAAAGCTTTTGCGTCTTTCAGTTGCTGGTGGCAATGCCTGCGGCTTTTTTTCTTCAACAATTTCCTCTTTATCACAGTTCATTGGTTCTTTTTCTATAGGGTTTCCGCTAATTAAATTCTTAATTTGTACCACTTTGTTAGTTAAATTGTTGATTAATTTCTCTTTGGCATAATTGGCTGCAAACTCTCCACCGTGCCCATCAAATACTGCAAACAATGCTACTCCTGTATTGTTGATGTTATCGTTTATAACAAATCTGTCTTCCATTTTAGGCCTGCGGCCTTGTATAGCATAGGCTGCAATAGGTCCAACTTTCATTTCCCAACTTTGCTTTTCGGCATCCCACATTCCCAACTTGTCCATTTTCATTCTGGGTTTGTTGATGGTGTACTGCAGCCTCCCTAACAAATTACGACTCCATAGATCGAGGGCTTGCATATAGAAATAAAGTAAAAAAAGCATTGTTCCAAAAATAATCAATTCGGGTTTTAGAAAATAGGTCTTCACTAGTCTCCATATGGATGATATGTAATGGGTTTGTGTTTGAGTTATATGGGAGAGTTTTAATGGGACACTCCATGCTAGTTTAGACATGATTCTCATGTGTGAAACGTAGGTTTGGTAGATGATTCGATCGTCGAGTTCGTCTTCCATTTTAACAGTCGAAAATTTACTTTGTAAAAATATGTCGAGACGGTTAATTTGGACGGCATTTAGGTATTTTCGCTGCACATCGTGATGCTACAAAAATATTAAGCGACAAAAGCTAAAATTAGACTTTTTTTTTTTTTGTGGTTTTAAATTAAAATTAGGCTAACCTTTATTAATGCATCACTGGCGAAGCTTGTTGATTAGTTGAATGGACTATTTGGAACGCTATCCGACTATTCAAACACTTCGTCTAAGCATTTCTAAACTTAAATTTACGGAAAAATGTATTATGAAACAGGATTTGTGTTTATTTTTGGATATTTCCCGCTTTTCCTCCCACTACCCCTCAACATGATTAATTATAAACAGCTGATTTCTGTCATAAGTGACAACTTATTTGTCAAAATTTTTAGACCGAGCAATGGAACACTTGGAGTAACCTCTTTTCACTCCGTTCTCAATATTTGAATGCAAATAATCTTATAGCGTTTCCGATTGGCAAATTCAATGTGTACTGAGTGTATTTGCATCCTTTCAATCGACCTGTAGAAAAAAAAGATGGAATTAAAAAAAAATGCACTAGTTCCGCACTAGATCTACCAATCGGAAACGCCATTACTCCGAACCAGGGTAGTATCAAAAAAAGAAGTACAAACTTTCGACTGACAGCTGACATCCGTAAATAGATGTCAATAAAAAATTGGTATGTTGTTTTGAAAATCAAAAAGGGCGAAAAATTAATTCATAGAGAAATCATTCAAAAACAAATAAATAATGAACATTAAACGTGTTAAAAGGCTCGGAAATAAATTAATGACGAGCGTAAATTAGAGTCATGAGTGAAAGGAAATTCGCCAAAGGTTTGAGCAAACCGGGAACTGCGGCTCAATTAAGGGAAACTGTTTCGCAAGTAGTTAGAGAAAATACTGTAAATGTAAGTCGAATGTAAACAGTTTTTAGTTAATTGATGTTAATTAGTAGTTCATGGATAAAATACAAAGTTTAAATTTACTCACATTTGAAACTGATGCAGGACATCTTCTCTAAAATGTTTTCGGATTAAGTAATATGAATTAAATTTTTGTTGTAGTCTATTTTTGATATGGATTTATAGGTTTTTTATTCGGGTACCAAAATAGACTTTATAGTGTTAGCCAATTCACTCACTTGGTGTTTTTTTTTTTACTATATTTTAATGCTTGTAGTATTCAGCCAAATTAACGATTTAGTGTCTGCGATTATTTTTCCTATAACTGTACTCTACTTTATTTATTTACTACTGTACGTTACTACAGTTGCTACTCTTCCCCGAAAACAATTGTTTTAAACTAATCCAAATGAGAATCCAAATTAACATATCTATCCTGAAGAAAACGCTTATTTTTGAAAATAAATAATAAAATTTCTAATTTGAATATCGAATTTTTAAACTGCTGCGAAAACGCTGGCGAGGACTGTGACGTCAGAGTCCTAAAAATGCGAGTATGCTAAATTTCCGAGTAAATTTCTCCTTAGTAAATAATTCCAAAACTATAACGGTGGCGGTTCGCCCTACATGTGTACGCTAATATAAGAAGTACTCCGTTAAAATAACATCCTTTGGAACTTCTAAACTAAGTATTAAATTCGGAGTTTTTTGCAATAAAGTGCCATGATGAATGAGACATCAAACTGTGTAGAAGCATTTTTGTAACTCTGTAATTTTGTTGGTTTTTTGTAGTATTATTTACGAGGGGTTATTCACTAAGGAAAAAATGTGACAAGATTTCGGATTTAGAGTGATTTTGAGGAATGTCGGGTGATTTCGGAGGATTTTGGTGATTTCGGGTGATTTCGATGAATTTCTGGTGATTTCAAAGGATTTTGGATGATTTCGGAGAATTTCAGGTGATTTCCTCAAATATTTTAATTTGAGTTTAGACTATTACTTATCTTATAAGTATATTCGAAAGTATATTAGTATAAACAGAAAAACAGTCGCGTTGACCGATTTATGAATTTTGGGCCTCCGGTGGATTTTTGAGGTTGAGTTAACGCCTAGTATTGTACTACATTTTGTACAATTGACTGTAATATTTCGGTTGTGGAATAACGAGCAAAATTTGACTTTTTTTTTGCAAAGACACTTCTACCCCCAATATGCAATGTTCAACATGCGATGTTCAGTTCGTAAATAAGCGTAGACCGAGGGAGGGCGAGGTCTTTGGTTGCAGATGCGACTTCTGTAATAAGGTTTTTTGTAAGAAGTGTGCTGGCCTTTGAACAACCGAAATGGAATCTCTAACCCTCACACAGCGAAAATTGATTTTTGGCTGTAGTGAAGAGTGTAAAAGGATTGACCCAAGCGATAAAGCGGACCAAATCAAAAATTTGTCAAAGCAGAAGGCTGAGGCAAAGGAGCTTAATAAAAAGTATTCCGAACTTGAATCTGAAATTAGGGCGAAAGAGGCTGAAATTGGTGAGCTTAATACGCAAACTGATGACAATTTTGCAACTATACAAGAAATGAAAACTTCAAATCAAAATCAAATCAAAATATGCTTTATTGTTTTAAACAAAGTAATGTTGTAAACAAAGCTGAAAAAGGTACGTAATAAAATAAAAAAAATAAATGAATAAATTCAGAACCTACAAAATCAAAAATACAATAAAGTGTACTTATATGACTTAGTTTATGTAGTCTAAATATATATGAATCATAAAATTACATAATTATAAAATTGAAACACAAACAGTAAACAGTTAATAAAATAATATAAAATCTTACATTTAAAAATAAAGCAGTACATTTACAATTTAACGTCATAGTAAAAAAAAAAAAAAACACAGCACACAGAACAGTAAAAAGTATCCATAAGCACACCTTTTTTTGCTTAAATCATGGTTAAAATCTTTCATTGAAGTATTCTTGTATATCATAATAGGCCCTCGCAACGAGCAACTTTTTTACCTCCCTCCTAAATCTCCTTTCCTCATAAATCTCTCTAATACTGACAGGCAAATGGTTGAAGAGTTGACGTCGATTAAAAACAATAGAGTCATGTACTTGGGAGGTTCTGGGAACAGGTAACAACATTTTATACGTTTGCCTGGTGGCATAAGATGACGGACCTTGTTGGTTCAATGTGTTTCTATACTTTTTATGAATTAGAGATACTGTTTCAAGAATAAACAAAGATGGTAATGTTAAAATATTTTTAGCAACAAAAAGCGGTTTGCATGAATCTCTCAAATTGGCCCTGTTCATGTATCTGATTGCTCTTTTTTGCAAAATGAATACTGTATGCATTAGCTGTTTAGCACAAGAACCCCAAAAACATATTCCATAACGTAGATGGGATTCTATTAATGCAAAATATGCTTGTCTCGTAATATTTTCATCTAATTCACCTGAAATTATTTTTAAAGCATAACAATTTGATGCCAATTTTTTATTTAGGTTTGCAATGTGGCATTCAAACTTCAATCTACCATCTATATGCAAACCTAAGAACTTATTTGGGGTGTGCCACTTAATATCTGATTTTCCAAATAAACTGGTCCCAGGTTACATTTGAAAGAAATAATATTAGTTTTGGAAATATTTAGACACAGCTTATTTGAATCACACCAGTTCTTTATTAAGGACAGGTCGTGGTTAATGGTTTCAACCAAAATATGTTCATCTGTACCACTCCAGAGAATTGTTGCATCATCTGCAAACAATGTAAAGCTTCCAGAAATGTTAAGGTTTGCAATATCATTAATATAGACTAAAAAGAAAATTGGTCCCAGAACCGAACCCTGCGGCACTCCACTATTTAGAGTCTGTTGGTTTGATCTTATCCCATTATAAGATACAGACTGGACTCTATTGGTCAAATATGATTGAAACCAACTTAGTCCTTTACCCCTAAATCCATAAATCTCCAGTTTACGCAGCAATATCCTGTGACTCACACAATCGAAAGCTTTTGTCAAGTCACAAAACACTGCCGCTGCAACCTGTCGATCGTTCATCCTCATGTAAAGATCCTCCAGAAAACTGAATATAGCATCACTGGTGGATCTTTTCTCTAGGAAGCCAAATTGCACTGTGGTCAAGATATTTTTTTTCTTCAAAAAATTAAGGATTTGCCTTTTAACTATTTTTTCCACAACCTTAGATAAAGTTGGCAGCAATGCCACTGGTCTGTAGTTTGAGGGGCTTTCCTCATTTCCACCCTTGTATAATGGGACAATATTAGCGATCTTCAAACAGTGGGGAAAAATACCTGTAATAAAAGAGAGGTTCATAGCTTCTGCTAGAATCCTAAGTGCATTCTCAGGAAGTTTGTTAAATATTTTAGAGGAAATGCCGTCCCACCCAGGCGCCTTGTTACCCTTCAGCTCCAAAATTGTTTCCTTAATTTCGTGTTCATTGGTGGGTACAAAAAAGAATGTTTCAGTTATATTTACATGATTTAAAAAGTTTTCAAAATTTAAATTACTTTTTATTAAGCTTGATAAATGGTTGGCTATATTGCAATAAAACTTATTTAAATCAGTAGCGTTTAATTTGGAATCCAAACATTCCTTAAGACACTTATTATCTCCTCGAAGTTCATTTACAATTTGCCAAGCTGTCTTCTGCTTATTACAGGAAGACGCAATTCTCTTTACATAATAAGATTGCTTAGCTGCCTTTATAGTTCTACGATATATTGATCTATACTTATTGAAATAATTTACAAAAAATTCATTACACATATCGAATTTTCTTATATAGTGGAGACATCTTAAATTTTTTGCTGAAACTCTTATTCCTTTAGTAATCCAACTTTTTTTTGTTTTTTGTTTTAAACGTTTTAAATGAAAACTTGCATTAAAAATTTTAGCTAAAACAGAGTGGAAACCTGACAATGGATCTGCAGAGCTCAACACATCACCCCAGTTTTCCAAAGAAGCAAGTTGCGTGAACCTATCATAATTTTTTCTTGTGAACAATCTACCCCACCTTTTTGCTTTCCATCTCTCTTTTTTATTTATTGCAAAACTACACCATACCGCCTCGTGATCAGAGAGTGCGCTATTTGTCACATTACATTTAACATCTCCTTGGTCAAAATTTGAAATTACATGATCTATTAATGTGAAAGAATGGGATGTTATACGTGTAGGTTTGTCAACATGCAGATGTAAACCGTAAGAATTAATTAGGTTGTGTAAGAAAATCCAAGTAAGTAAGAATTTCCATCGAAACTCTTACTGTGGAAAATGAGCAGCACATTTTGGAAACAAAAGATCTCAAAAATGAAAATTTCAAGCTGAGTCAGACTCCGACTGCAGTTTTTCAAGATAACAGAGATGCGCTCTATACAAAATTGTACAACGACCTTTCGGGTGTTTTTAATGCTAAGTTTTCGGCCCTTGAAGCTCTAGTTAAGAGCTCGTGTTCCAGTAACAGCACTAATAATGATACTGTGACAAAAAGCGCGACAAGCGCCAATAACAACAATATAAAATATAAACAACAACAACAAAAAGTTCAACGCACAAACGAGCAACGCAGTGCATCAATCAAATGCCAAAATGCTTCCAACTAACAGGAGGAACACTCGTAAATTCTCGGCAATCACTGGCACAAAAGCAACAAACAGTGTTGGAATTTCTGCGGCTGTCATCCTGCCCAAAACAGCCATTTTTGTTCGTAAATTATCCAATGACGTTTCCAAGGATAACTTATTAAGGTACTTACATGATATATTTGGTAATGAGGAACAGTTCACACTTGAAGAACTTAATTCAAAATCTGGAGATTACAAATGTTTCAAAATTGTGGCCAACAACGATTTAGAAACGTCCTTATTAGACCCAAAAAATTGGCCTATCGATGTCGAAATCAAAAAGTTTCAGTCCTTTCGTCACAACAGAAGTAACCACTCTGCAATCCTTGGTCCCAGAATCTTTAAACAA